CATACATTGGAAGCAGGTATGAATCAAGACTATCATGAATTGGGCTTGTAGATGTCTAAAGTGTTTAGACATAGCAAAAGTTGTCGCAACATTCATGAGTGCTCCTGGAATGAGATTCGAGTATTGGATTAAACCCACGCTCATTTGAATCACTTCATGGATTTTATCACAATTGATCATGAGACGATAATATCTTATATTCTTCAAACCTAGATATATGAATTGTTGACTATGAGTTGGTTATACATTGATTGTACGAAAACGCATTAGTAACTTGATGTTATAAAACGTACCTTTGTGTATGATTCAACAAGTAGTTAGTACAAGCATATGAGTTGAAATTTATCCATTCCTTTTACCCTTAGAGGGATAAAAAGCGACATCTGTGGGCCCCTTGATGATTTAGTGATGACAAACGTAAGTGCTTGGCCGGGCCGGGACTAATTGGAATTTGTTCAATTAGTCGGTCATCATAAATCAAAAATTGGGAAACAACAAATGGTCAAAGAGAATGATTATAGTCCATGTCTCGGTCCATATGATATCTGGAATGGAGGAATGTATTATCCCTTATCTAATGGACATGTTATTGACTAGGTCAAAGTGCGACAACGACTTTTAAGAACTACGATTGCTAGTCAAGGTTTTGGAATCATACCTGCAATAATAGTTTTAGACTTATCCAAGTGAGAGATTGTTGGATTAGATGTCTAAGCCCATAACTATTATTGGTATATACTCGACCCGAGAGTAGCATGGTCCATTTAGGTTGCATATCATCAGGACAATTTGTTAGGATAGACTCTTGAGAGAAGGTTATATATGATTTATTAATATATTATAAGTTCTAATATATTAATATGAAATCATATGTTTTAATTAGTATTGATCACGAACTAATTTGGAATTAATTTAGTGTTCAAAAGAGACTAATTAATCTATGGGGACTAAATATGGTAATTAGTTATATATATATATATATATATATATATGTGTGTGTGTCTGTTGGGCTTATGATCCATATTGAACCAAGTTTATGTACAGATACATAAAGAGTTGGACCACATGAACTTTGGATCATAACACACATGGGTATGGGTTTAGGTTAACCCATGACCTTTGGAATTCCACATATAAATATGTTACTTCATAGCAAAAATGAACACTAGTGTATTCTTGGAGGATATGGATGGTTTTAGTGTGTATAAACTCTCTCTCAAGTTTCATTCTTTGTCCTTGCTTGTACTTGGTATCTTAACCCGGATTAATAAACTCTACCATATACTCTGTCTCCAACAACCCACATGCCTTTGATCATGATCAAATCTAAGCTCCCAGACATTAAGATTCTTACTCTAAGATCTAAGATCTGCTTTTGTATGAGACATTAGTGCCTAGCCTTGAAACTTTATTTTGTGTAGATACATATGCTTTCCGCAAGGTTGTAGTGTCTACCTTGAATGAGATGAAACAACTACAACCTTGAATAAAAGTTTATCTACACAATATAAAGTTCATTTTGAAACTAACCTTCAATCTGTTTTGTTCCAAGCCAACGGTGCTAGTGAGCAAAGCTTTTTGAAGGTGGTGGTGTATCATTGAAATACCCTGAACGACGTTTCTTTTGTCTGAACCTCTTATGAGTTTACTACTTTGTTTCAACATCTTTTTCTTTCTTTTTTCTTCTTTAATATATATATATATATATATATTTATATATATATATATATATATATATATATATATATATATATATATATATATATATATATATTACACATTCTACATTTTGACTCATTTTTTTTATTTATGTTTTTGAATGTCTTAGCTGTTTCTCATTTCTTTCTCATTTCTTAACAGAATAGTTGTATTCTCCCTCTTATTTTTCCTCACGTCAAAAACTATTTATAATCAAAATGACGAATCTAGCCTTGAGGGGTTGTTTTAACAGCATATTCTTTTAATTTAAGCAACATGACTAATCTACCCTTGACAATGTTGATTTTTGATACATGCTTTTGGTCAATAATACCATATGACCCTTCAATTACTTGAGGGGCAGTAAAAGAGCTGGAACAAAGAGATTCAAGGCTACAATAACAGCTTATAGATGTGGTATCAGAACTAGAAAGCCAGGGAAAGGCAAACAAGTACTCTAAAAAAGACCTTTCTACCCCTTTTCAATTTTTTTTTTCATAATTATATGTAACTTTTTCTCATATTGTACGTCTGGAACTGTAAAACCAGATCGCTCTTCGTTTCGATGGCATCAATGTAATGCTATCAACCCAACTCATAAAAATTAAATTTTTTTCACCCATTCTTTTATTAATAAGATTTATGTATGTGTATTTCGGAAATTTTAACATAATTCTCCTATCCATTCTACCAACAATGACCGAGTACATGAGAGACGCACACAACTTGGTCTCCGGGGCCTAAATTTTAATATTTCAATAAAAACTTGTTGCAATTTTTTAATCATCTTAACGGTTATCAGATTTAGATAAAGTGCATTATGTTATATGTATGTGACATTTGGACCTGAAATCTTTGGTAATAATTTGCTCTTCAAATAGATATGATAAGGTGAACTAAAGTGCATTGTCTTAAACTCTTAAGCTACCATACTACAACAATCACAAATGAGGAGATATTGGAAAACAGGAAAACTCAGTTACTCAAAAGTCAAAACTACAAGATAATTAGATAATGGAATTTGAAAAACTCAAACCTGTTTAATGGAGAACTCAATTACTCAAAAGTGGAAAACACTCTAAAAGGACATACCATTTCAAGATAAACCTGAATGAGAATCATTGAATGTCTGAATCAGAGGATGGAGAAGGAAGAATAGAGAAGACTGCTTACTAGTGGCTGCGTCATCTCGTGGAATTGTTGATTGTGGTGTCAAGCCTGTGTAACAATGGACTAAAGAATAAGTGAATAAGCTTTAAAATTGGTGCATGTTCAAATGGCGTTTCCTGATACTCTTTATAATTCCAAATTATTTAATGTAAAATATTTAATCTCTGTATACTGGTTCAGGAGTTAAAACTGGTGCAAGAGTTTGACCTTTGGGTGGTACACTATTTGAGGTTATTGATGCTGGTGGTACGGGGAAAACACTTGCTTATGGAACAAAAAAGAAGGGTGCACAAATTGTGATAAACAATCAGACTTAAGGTTGGATTCTATCAGCTTTGGTATTACTAATCTTAGGTGTTTTGGTAATGATGGAATTGGGGAAGGAATGGAATAGCCAATTCCACTGAATTGACAAACAAAATTGATAGCGTTATCTAATGGAATGGAATGGACAGTTCTTATAGGAACGTAATTCTTCGGTCAGGTTTTGATTTGTTTTTTTTATTTTTTTATTCCATTGCTAAGTCTGAAGGTTGTTTGCTTTCATTCCTTAATGGAAAAAGAAATGGTAAATTGCAATATTATATGTTATCTTAACAAATGATGCTCAATATATAGCTTATATCCATCGTTCAGCATTTTACTTATTTTGGAAAAAACAAAAATTACCCTTCATTGGTTGTGTTTGGTACATGCCTTAGAACTCCTATCTGGTGTTTACGTTGGGATTCCTTTTTTGAACCAAACATAATGAAATATTATTAAGTGAGCTAAGTATCATTCAATTTTAATAAGTAACTAAGAGTTGGTGAGAAAACGATTGTCATCACTCTAAGATCACAACATGAGATCACAACATACACATTTTGCGTTGAATATGGATCGTGCTTAGCACGAGCCTCCAAATTTTCTAGAATATATATATACACACACGTTATCAAATAGAAGACATAAAAGAATTATGTTGGCAACAAATTCAAACTGAAAAACATAACTTTTAACAAATAGAAATTTGGACTGAAAGAACATTTTTTTTTTTGCCAATTATACGAACCACTTCTTTAATTTACTCATATTTTTCTGATAGATGATGATATAATGCATATATTCTCAAATACACATCACGTATATATAGCTAAATATCTTCAGCAAAACAAAATATAGTCTATGAAAATAAAAATAGACAAATATGCATAATTGATGTGTTGACTAGATGCCAACTATAGTCTACTGTATGAAAATAATATTAGAAAAGTATACACAATTGCTCCATATAGTTTTAGAACGTTGCAGGCTTGAACTCTAAGTATCAAATTTGTGTTTTTTACCTTTAAAAATCTCTGATTTGCCAAAATGCATTTTTTGTAATAGTTGTTAATATTTAATACTCATTTTTGCTATTTAAAAATTATTAAAATTGTAAGAAAAATAAAATGTAAGAAAATTAAAATGCAAACTTTTCCCTTTTTTCTTTTCTTTAAAACTCAAAAAATCTTTGAAACATTTAAAAGGAAACCTATATAGAACATTAGAACTCGTGAGGAAGAATGCCAGAGCAAAATGATTACATCGGTTTCAGAACTAAAAAGCAAAATGCTACATTTTATTTTTATTTCAATTTTAATGATTATGAAATATAAAAGAGGTTCATTAAATATTAAAAACTTAAAAAAATAGATTTGTATAAATCCAATATTTTAAAAGATTAAAGAGCGCAAACAAGATATTTGGAATTTATGTCGGTCAAATATAATATTAAAACCTTTAATAAAGGTTTATACAATATTATGTTTGTGTTTAATACCGTTAGAACATCTCCAAAACCACTAAATATTTTATTTTTACAAGTATAGAATATATTAAAAAGAGATAGGTTCATATATTCAAAATAATTATTGTGTGGTTGTAGGTTTTAATACCAGTCAATCATTCTTAAAAGGTATTAATGTAATAATTAATATTTTCTGGATTAATTAAAATTTGAATGATTTCAATCAAAATCCTAAAGATCAAGCTATTAATTATGGATCCTATCAACCATAATAATATATATGCATCATATACTTTTTATTATATTGAAGACACTTCGTTCATCATCTTCATATCATATATTTTCTTCTAATATTTCGTTAATGGAGGTATTGTTTTCATATATTATTTTTTCTGATATTCCAAACTAATCGCTCATCGTATGCAGACTAATTGTTCATCATCTGCACAACATATTTTTTTTTCTTATGAGTTTTCATTGATGAAATTCAATTTTTTAATTATACTTGTTTTGATTTTCAGAATAAAGATAATGTTGATAACAATAACAATGAATTTTCTGATAACAATGATCGAAATGTGAAGCAACCCAAAGTGAATCAAGATTTGAAGAAAAAAAAAAGATGTGAGATTTGTTTTAATGTTGGTCATGATAAGAGGAACTTGTTTCAATTTGTCAACAGAGATTACTAGTTCAATAATATTTGCAATTTAGTCATATCTGATGTTATGGAGTTGATTTTCAGTATAATAATGATATGGATTCATGAATTTTAGGGGTTTATCCTTGTAAGTTTATGTTTTCATTCAATAAATATTATTAATTTCTATTTTTATTTTGATTTAATTTCATACATTTTGTTATATTTGTATAGAATAGTTGTGCCTAATTGTGATATACTTAATGAGTAGAAGTTTAATTCGTTAACAGAGATTAGTAGTTCAATAATATTTTCAATTTAGTCCCATCTGATGTTGTGGAGTTGATTTTCAGTATAATAATGATGTGGATTCATGAATTTTAGGGGTTTATCCTTGCAAGTTTATCTTTTCATTCAATAAATATTTGATTTAATTTCATACATTTTGTTATATTTGTATAGAATAGTTGTGCCTAATTGTCATATACTTAATGCTTATTGCAAACATTCTGTTAGAATCGATGTTATTCAAATTTGCAGAATGTTAATGTGTATTACAAAACCCAGAACAAACAAATACACAATTTAATAAACAATTAAAATAATCAAAATTCTATTTTTATATGCAAACACGTCTTTAGACGATACCACTTAATGTATGTTTTCAATGTATTTTGTTTTTATATTTGTTTAGAATAATTGTGCATAATTGTGTTATAATTGATGTTAATGCAAAGAGTCTGTCACAATTGTTGTTATTAATATTTACAGAATGTGAATTTGTATTATAATATCCGGAACAAACAAATACTCAATTTAATAAACAACTAAAATAACTTGTATTTTTATACGCAAACCCGTCCTCGGGAGATATCATTTAATGTAATTCTTGTTTCACATATTCTGACTGAATAAGAAACTTGTATCTTCATTGTTTTATTAGTATCCGCGTTTATGACATAATTAATCAGTAATCACATTTAAATTCATACAAAATAAATTTATTTATTTTAAGTTTTGCTGAATAAATTATTGAAAAATCAAGTCAACGTAAGATGATAATTTGTTAAGTCTTATATAAGGAATGTATTATATTTGGAATATGGATTTGTCTAATATTAACAATATCATGATCAATAATAAGATTTTTTCTGGATTCTTATCGTTATAATGTTTGTAAAAATTATAAAAATTAAATCACTGATAACAATATCTGCAGATATCACGCCTTTTTAGTTACATATCAATTATACGGTTTCTCTTTTTTTAATACATACTTCATTGGCTCAAAGTTTAGAAGATTTAATTTATTTTGCTATCTCCAATCATCTAGTGCTAAATCGTGCTGAAAATCAACTTATGGATAATACAATATCAGCTGGTGACGATCATATTCATGATCAACATGAATATCCTAATGATTATGTAGACGATGATGAAGATTTCGGGTTAGCTGATCATGATTCTCTACATAATATCGATTTTCAAATAGGTGAGAATAGCAATCTAAATATAGGTGATATATCTTTATAAGTTTTTCTATTTGTTATTTTTCATAACAATAATGTTGAACTTGTATATTCTTATTTGCAATATGGCGAAACTTGCACTTACAAAGACGAGGATCCATTAGAACACATTCCATATTGAAGACAATCACGACTATCATTTCGGTGATTGTAGTAATCATAACCTCGTTGATGTATTGTAATTATTTATTTGGTTTTTATATATCTAATTATCCGGTACACTTATTCTACTTAAAAGATGCAGAACACAAAAATGAGTTCATTTATGATGAGGCAGATGAGACTATAGCCGATAATAATATTGATCTACAGAAAGGTTAGTACACCAATAACAAAATATTTTAGAAAACTAGAATAATTCGTTGCGATTGTTTGCAATTTTTCACATCAATGGCAATCATTTGTTTAAACCTCTAAGTATTTTGTTTTATATAATGTAATATATTTTTTGATGCAGAACAATCTCATGTTACACATGATTATGTTTCTCCTGGTGGCTTATCTTATTGGATTCCTGTTGTTTCGGACCATATCAAAACTAAAATCAAGTAAACCGTTGAATCATATGGTGCCGCATTATCAATGTATAAAAATTATGCATAAGAAGCAGGTTTTGATGTCAAGCTTGGAACAATTAGAACAACCAAATCTGGTATTATCACACAACGACATTTTTTATGCAATCAGGAGGGTAAACCAAGAACCACTAAAGTGGATACTCTAGACCCGCAACATAATAAGTTTCAATGAAGAAAAGACTCATTTAGGTGTGAATGCAAAGCAAAAATTGTTTTTATTCTACTATAGGGTACTAATAAATATATTGTTGATGATTTTGTCGTACAACATAATCATGAGTTGTTTGGTAAGGACAACATGTTTTTGTCTCGTACAAAGAGGAAACTTGATTATTCTTAGGAGATGTTTATTCATAACATGTCAAAGCAAAATATTGGTGCAACAAGAGCACATAGATTGTATATCGGACTTCAGGGTGGGTCTGACATTTGAGGTGGTTTGGTTTCTGATTTCAAGAACAGTATGAGAAATCTCAATTCTTACATAGGTTCTAGGGATGCAAAATTCCTTGTTGTGAATATGCTTGAAAGGAAAAAAGTATCTCAACCTCTTCTTTCGAGTTTAAAGTCGTGCAGAAATAATTAAATGTGCTTTTTTGGGCTGACGAAACTGTAAAGTATAACTACAATGCTTTTGGAGATGTTGTATCCCTTGATGCCACCTTCAACATGAATAAGTATTTTTTAAATTTGTAATTTTATCACAAATTTTTTTCCAGTAATAGTAACTAATATTAATATTTAAAAACAGATATGATATGGTTTTCGTACCGTTCACTAGGATAGATAACCATAAGAAATGTGTCACTTTTGATGTTGTACTTTTGAGTAGAGAATATGGTACTTCTTATTCTTGGCTGCTTAGAGCATTCTTGAAAACATTAAAAAAACAACTTACGCTTGTTCTTACGGATCAAGATCCAACTTTAAACAAAGTTGTAAATGAAGTTTTTCCAATGTCACCACACAGGTTTTGTATGTGGCATATTACAAAAAATTGCCAAAAAAGGTGAACCTTTTTTGTTTTTTACCAAAATACTGTTAATAGGTTTATTTTCTTGATATATTTTTTTTCTATCAGAATACAAGTCTGATAGAATAATAGATATACTAGGTATGAAATAGAATATCTATAGTGTAATTCTGATACAATCATTTAACATAATTCTATCAGAATACATGATTTTGATGTTCATATCCTTTATACAACGTACACCAACATTTTATATTTTACTAAAATTTCTTTTATGTATTTTCATTCAGATAACATCCCAACTAGCCACAAAATCAATGTTTCGGAAGCATTTTCACTCTATAATTTGGAATTCTAAACTGGAACCACATGATTTTGATAACGCATGGCAATCTTGTTTAGATGACTTTAACATTTCAAATAACAAGTGGATGAAAGATATGTATGGGTTGCAGAGACGTTGGGTACCTTTATTTTTCAAGGACATACCAATGTCTGGTCTTATGAGAAGTACATCATTGTCTGAAAGACAAAATTGGTCGTTTCAGAACAACACCTTTACCAGTTCTTATCTTTTAATGTTTATGATGACATTTAAGGGTGTTATGTTAAAGACGTAATCAATTAGTCAATGACTTTAACACTGCTACAACAGTTCCTAGATTCATCACATCTAGTCCGAACAAACCACATGCTTCAAAGGTCTACACTCGTAAAAAAAATTATCAGGCTCAGAAAGAGATTTCAGATTCTGATAATACTTGTTTCCAAATGAGTGTTACTTCTTGTAATGGTATCGACACTATTATTGTATTGGAGAAGCAAAAGAACATAAGCACAGTGAAACCATCAAGTCCTGTTGGTGATGACAATCTTTAGGAATATCATTACAATTGTGTTATAAAGGATACCCAATACATGGTATGTTATTACTTCATTATATAATCATGCCTTTTATACATATAAAAATACTTTTTTAACAAATACTCATATACTATCATACATATTCCAGGTTACCCACTCAAAAACAGACAGTTCATTCAAGTGTACCTACATGCATTTTAAGCATGTCGGTCTTTTATGTAGGCACATATTATGTGTGTTTAAGTTTTACAGTATTGAATAGACTCCTGAAGAATACATTACGAGACATTGGCATCGGGATGTTATTCCAACAGCATTGTGTACGGCGTTTCTCTAATTCTTTGGTTGACTCAAATTCTAACCTGACTGTTGTTGAAGAAATTTCAAATATTGACCATCGTGTTTTGTTTTTGAGCCATGATGCAGCAAAGTTAAAGTCATACCTTGAAGAGCTGAATAATTTGAAAAAATAAATTGTTGATGATTGTCCAGCCCCCAAGATGTCATCAAGAGAATCATTCTACAACCAGATTATAAGTGTAGAATTAACTAATGATGTTCCTGGCATTGAGAATCCATCGGATATTCGTAATAAAGGAACTGGTAGTAGTGGTAAGAGGTTAAAATCAAAAAAATAAATGCTGGAAAAAGTAAGTTTGAAGCCTAAGCGAAAGTGTGCTTCATGTAAACAGATGACAAACCATGATAAACGAAATTGTCCTCCTAAAAAATCCTATGTAGTTTGCTATATTTGTAGTTTTTTTTAGAATTTTTTATTATTAGTCACATGATTGTTTCACGTTTAGTAGTGACGTTGATTTCAATTTTGCGAGCCTTTAATATAATTATTATATATGGTTATGCACTATTACACATTATAATCAATCGTTATCCAAGCATATTACACCAACCTTATGATCTCGTAAAATCATTAATTTCCATAAGAATTTTATACGACCAACAACATATTATTTCCCAAACATTTTTTCTCATCAACACCCTAATAAATTCCAATAGAATTTAACTTTAATCCATTTTTTTAATATTCTTTCAGAAGAATGACATATCAGAAACTAACAATTCATAACCAAAATTTCAATATTTTTGAAATAATATTCATTCTTTCAGAACATTATAATATCATTTTGTCATTTTATACTTTTAAGACCTTTTAAAAATACTACTACAAAACACACAAAGATACCTTTAATATATTTTCATTATGATACTTTGAAATTATAATATTTGATCAAACATGAAAGAACATAACCTTTTAACATCCCAACAAAATTTAACATTATTCCAAATATTGTCATTCTTTCAGAATTTGGTCCACTCAGAATTTATCAATTCTTAATGACAATTCTAGTGTATTATAAGTATTTCCAATTTTCCACAACAATTTCATCTCATAATTGAATACTTGAAAACCATAACTAACCTGTACAATAACAACCATCTTTTAACTTTATTCTTATTATTTTAATTCTTTAAAAACATGAGCTTCAAACAATTTTAAATTCAACATATTACTTACTTCCACATTTTTCATATCCATAAAAACATTCCATCATCATTCATATTATAAGTTTTCCTAAAAAAAAGACAACTAGAAAAAAATAAAACATCCTAACATAAGTCTTCTAACAGTTTCCCAAACATAGATACCTAAAAAAAAAACATGAAGCCATAAGTCTTTCAACACAAACCTGTCCACCATTATTAAGCAATCAAAACAAAATGACCCTCTTAAAAACGATGCCTTCCACATCTTTGCTTCTCTTTAGTTTCTTTCACTTCATTCAACAGCACCATTTTCTCCAATGGATCAAGTCTGTCATACGTTTCTGCATCTTTCTTCAACATACTTTTATACTTGTTTTGGTCGCATTTCATAAACTTTGCCATGTATTTGATTCTTAAATTATTTAAAGCGATTACATCACTTTTTTACCTGTAAAACAGAAATCCCAACGTGCTTCACTTTCACCCATATATGATTCCATATGCCTCATAAGATACACTCCGCAGTCTGATCCTTCTTTTTCTACTTTCCATGTAAATTTCATTACGCGAGGTTTAATTTTGTTGAAAGCTATTGTTTTGGTAATTCCCTGTTTTTAAGTAGTTTCCAAGCAATTTTTTTGTGATTCAATACAATCAATTTATGAAAATTCATTTTTAACTATACAAAATTCAATTCATATATAAATTCTAAGCAGTAATTATTAATCTTACCACAAGAAATGGTTTCCTTCAATATATATCTTCAACAGTGCCTGTTCGGTTGACATGGTCTATAATGTAGTAGGTGGGTACCCTTAGATCAAAGCATATTAAATAATATTTTGCCTTCTCAACTATAGGAAAGAAAACCTGGTATACAACTAAATTTGTAACAATAATCTATCTTTGTATATTAAATATTATAATATAGAACATAATTCTTAAGCAAATTACTAGTCCAACATCCTTGAGACTTTGCTTAATTGGTAGACTTCTAATGTGGACTTTCCTCATCGAATCAAATAATGAATGGCTTCTATCTTATGCAATCGATACATCCAATATCTCATATGCCTGTATACATAAAACAAACAATCAATAAAACACATATTATTATTTAGTAATAAACTTAAGTTGAATACTTACCAAAAGTTTTGTATCAAAGAAAACTATAGCAACTGATCCTATATCCCTTAGTTCCTCCATTCTGTTAAGTAATGATGTCCAATAGTCAATGATTATAGCATGTATAAATGTGTTGCCTTTAAAATGATATGCAAATCCTTGATGCAATACATGACTGCTGCTAATGTTCCATATTTCTTCCTTGCTCAAAAATTTTAATTAAATCAATTATACATGAATGTTTTAAAAAGCAAACCACTAATATATATTATCTCAATTACTCATAATCTCTTTTTGATGCAAAAAATGTATTATATAATGCCATCTCATCCTTCTCACCTTGTCACTCATTCTAACAATCCTTTCAACAAACGGTGATTTTCCATATACTGGTAACTTTTGTCCTCTTCTCCCCCTTTTTCCATTTTCATCATCTTCCACACCTACTTCAATTGTTTCCAAGATTTCTATTCCTTTTTTCTTTTCTTTTCTTAACTGTTCAACACAGCCTTATCTGTCATTTCAGTTGTTGTTCCAACACTTTAGGATGCTCCAACAATTGTGAATAGGTTAAATGGTCTGTACTATCCACCTTTTCCATATTAGGTGTACTAAAATCTATACTATCATCCTTTTAATCCACATAAACTACTAATCCTCTAACCAGATATTCCACCTTCATTACTACCATCAGACTCTCCTTTGTTACCATCAGCATCAAAACCATGCTCTTTCTCTTTCATTCCTTCATTTTCTACATTATTTACTTCGTTAAACAATTCTTTATTTTTTTCGTACCACTCCTTCAACATCAAGCTATCTGGGAATTTTTCCATTCCATCATTCAAAGCCATTTGAATATTCTTCTTGTCGGACAAGATTATTCCATAGCTATGCTAGATAACAGCCACATAGGCCTAAAAATTATATAACAAGTTATAAGTAGTAAAATTCAGATAGAATTACTATTCTGTATAATAACTGTTTCACTTATTTTAAGCTGTTACCTAAACAGTTCAACTTGTGAGTATTGAAATTCTAATAGAATGTACCACTTTTTTCATTTAAACTTTACGTCTTACCTCGTCATTCCCATAGTCTTTCTTAAGCCCATCCAACATTTCAGCTTCATCCATCATTTCATCATCAACATCAACATTTTCAAAGTTTTCCTATAGTTGCCTTCCAAACCCTCAAACACTAATCTCCAACTTCTCAATTTTTTCAAGAACATTACCCGTAACATGTTTGACAAACGGTAACCTTTTCATTATCTTGACGCCTGAGAACTTCATGTTATACACATACACCAACTAAATAAAAAATAATTACAATTATTAATTCAATATACATATTTCAATATAATTTAAAGTATAAATCTACTCAAGACAAGAATATTACCATCAACACAAGTATAGGTGCGCTGTAATAGCATATCTTATCATCCCTTCTCCACAACTGTTTTCTGCTAACCAAACAATCTAGAATATACTTACACCAATCAATCTTCAAGAATTCTTTTACCAAAACCTGATGAATTAAAGAATCGAGTATCTAATGAATCAGAGTCTGTAAGAATGAAAGATTGAACACCAGATGTAAATATGATCTTGTTTTAGCTTTACTAAGCTTTCGTATGTTTACAGAGTACAAAAACAAGTTCTGTAAAACTCACTCTTATCTAACTCTAGTAAATGTCCCTATTTATAGGAAATAGAAAGCGTACAAAAAATACTAAGGCGTTGACTCTAAGCTTCGTATAAAAGCACCTTAGTAAATATATATCAAAGAATATGAAGGGGAATACGACAGACTTCGACTAATTACATCATACATTGACTCTTACAATCTCCCCCTTTGTAATAATAGTCGAACCCCTTAATTTGTGAGAAGCTAAAAGGAATACAACATCACCCTTCGTATTTCTGTGTACAATGAAATGATCTTCTTAAGCTCCCTCTTATCACCTTCATTATTCTTCTTGAAATGATTCATATAAACAATTAAGTTCGTATATTGAGATGTTGAATACCTCTCCACTTCGCTTGCTTGGAACAAAAATCGTTTTGCTTTTCTAGCTTTTCATTTTCCTTTGAAGACCAACCCAAAAGGCTTTAAACATATCTCTCCGTCTGCATACTTCTTCAACTCATTTTGTGTCTTCGTAGGTGCCATTGGAGCTTTTATTTCCAAATCCTTAGTTGTTGCTAATTCAACACCAGTTAGTGCCAAGCACTCATAATAATTTTCAATGAAAATCTTGATGTGAGATAACCCAAGCTTGAATTCATCAGGTTCAGTATTTTGAAGATACGAAAAAGATTTATCTTTCAAAATCAATGCAACTTGTATAAGATCATACAAGTTCATCAATGGAAAATCTGTAATGGTGAAATCACAAATATTTCAATTTGCCCTGGCAATAACGTACTTAACATTTTGGACTATGTTTTCAAAAATCACATCCTTCTTTATACTGATCACCTTTTTAATCTTCACCGATAACCAGACTTCCTCAGCAGGTTTCGCAAGAACAGCATGAAATCGAATCTTCATGTGTGTACCTTCATCTTTTACTTTGAAATTTCCTTCTTCTTTAAACTGAGGCATGATAAACATCATCTCATTCACCGGGAAGTCTAGCTGGACTGCATCATTATTCGTCACAATATAGATTTGCTTCAGTTTCTTTTCGAACGAATACATATTATGGCTTTGATTGCTTCATAGTTGTAATGTTTGGATGGATCGCCTTTATCCAAAAGTGGAGGATCACTTGCACGCTGAGTCATAATTCTTTGAACCAACCTCATCTTTTCAATTTCTACTTCTACTTCAGCTTTCTTTACCTCCTTTGACTTTTCTACAACAATGGATTTTCCGTTATCTTTTGAAGCCACATCTGTTACAATTGGCTTCTTATTGCTCCCAAAAGTAGCTTCACCAATCACAACTCCTTTTGTGATAGGCCTTGAAATTGGCATCGTAGTGACCACTATTGAAGTAACTGACCCAACAGATGATATTATTGGTTTTGTTGTTGGGATCTTCGTAGAATACACCTTTCCCACAACTTTTGCATCTGCATGCGAAGCTTCACTACCAACCTTCGCATCTCTAACCTTTCTTTCTCCCCCATGCACCCCTGTGGCAGCAGGTGGGGCATATGTTCTTGGTAGAAGGCTCGAAATCCTGGAAAGAGGGGCCAGTTGCTTGTGTAGAATAGCTTCGAATTGAATGAATTTTGAGACAAAAATTCAGGAGTGATCAAGGAAGACGAAACTGGCTTAACAGATAATTCTTTGAGCTCCTTCAACATATTGATTACTTCCAGAAAGTTTTAGTTTCGGTTGTAGAAAGTTGAGTAAGTTGAGGACTCATGCTTTCGTAGAACTTGACAAATCTGGTAACAACATCACAAATAATATCAATCTTCTGATTGAGAGATGCATAATCATGTTGAACTATAACAATCTCTTTTTGCATATCTTCACGAAGGTCACGAATCTGCAAATTAACATCTTCACAAACTTTCTTTACATCTTGAATGAACAGAATGTATGGTTCCTTCACCACTTGCTTCAAATCTTGTACTTCTCCTAAAAAATGATGAACTTTGAGAATTCACCTATAGCTGATTGTTTTGATCATGATGATCAATCTTCTCCAAAATTCTTGACTTTGAATCTCTAACCATCCCAGAAACTTTACTCACCACCTTTGTTTCGAACATTTTTAGCATCGTATCAACTTCCAAACTCGAAACATATGAACCACCCATAGATCAGCTTGAGATTGAAGTATAGAATTCAACTTCTTATTCAAAATCTTAAACTGTTTCATCGTCATCAGCATATGATCTGGAAAATCTTCTTCTATTTCATCAAACTCCAAGTCCTCAAAGGTTCCTCCAAAACCCTCATTGTAAGTATCATTTTCCCTGAAAATTAAATCTTTAGCAGGAGAATTGGTTTTGGGTTGATCAGTGGATTGAGAAGAAAAAATAAAAGTAATGGGTTGATTGAGAATATTTTTGAATGTGGGTGATTCTATGGTTGAAGTAATTGGTGTGATTTTTGAAGGTAAGGAAACAATAATATCAGGATTACCTTGAGCTTCTGTCTTTGCATCTCCTTCACCCATGGTGACATGTACATCCGTATGAGATATGTTTACATTGATGTCTGAAGTTCGTGCCTCCTCATGAGATGACTTGGCAGACGATGCTTCGGGTGGTATGACCATTGTCTGCTCAGGAGTTGAACTTTCCTTGTGAAGATTGGCTTCGGGTGTTTCAGGAATTCGTTCTTCTTCATCTTCTGTAGATTCGGTTGTTATAACAAGCTTACGTGTTTTCTTCTTCTCCCTTTGAGAAATTTATTTTGCCATATCTTCAGCCTTTCACTTCTTAGAGGATGGACAAACAGGAATCGGTACTTCACAAAAAACTACACCTTGATGAGTAAGATGAGGCTTTCGTACTACATTAAGAGTCGGAGTCTTTCATTTATGCTTAGCCTTCATCTTTATTCTTCAAAAAACACCAATCTTCGAAGGAATAACTACGTTCTCTGGAGTTTCGTCAATTACAGGCTCAATCGGAATAGTCTCTTCAATAGACACTTTTGTTACCACTGGTACCTAAACTTTAGTAGTTTTCTTCTTTGGAAATTTCATTGTTTTGGTTTCAATAACAAGCTTTTCAGACAAACCAGGCTCATTCTTCTTCAAACGTTTAGACTTCTTCTCTTCCCTCGGCAACAAGATCCCAGTTTGATCATTAGGATTGATTGTTTTCAACTATGCCACCAAAACAACATTAGAAGAATGAACACATCACAACATGGCATCCGGAGTACGAGCAACGAATGGAAACACTGTTTCATCATCTATCGTGTTCTTCGGATATTTGTAAGTATAAAATTCAGCCTTCTCTTAATTAGCATTCACTAAAATCCCTTCCTTCTCGTAAAAAATATTTCAAAATTAGGCTCCAATACCTAGCACATGAAATTCCTTGAACTGCATTCGTGTTTTCCACACTCTTTTGGAATTCCTTCCATAGTTGTTTAGATAACTCTACCGGGATATCATAGTATAGCACCTCAACCATGGCCTATACTTCCATCCTTAATTTGTCAAGACCGACAGTTCGTCTAGTCAAACACCTCAAAAATATTCCAAAAAGAAAGTTCCAGATGGTTGGAAGACCCGATTTCTTGAAATCACTGATCTTGGTTAGTTGTGGTTGGTGACCCATCTCATTGAACATATGTACGATTTGGGGAAACTGCAGATTAATGTAGGGTGGAGAATTCGGGATTTCTAGTATTTGGCAAAAGAGTTTCTTGGAGAGTTTAACCTTTTTGTCATTCACCAGATTGAATGTGATGATTTCCAGAGCTTTGCTGTAAGTAGCAGTTGATCCTGCTTGAGATAACCAAGAAAGAGGAACAACAAATGATCGGAAAATAACCTTAGAAATAACAGAACTTTGCAGAGCAACGATCAACATCTTGAGTTGTTCTAGATAAGTAGAAATATCAGCCTCTACTTGGTAGTTAGTTCCTTGAATCTTCATGATCGGCAATGAAGTCACATCGTCAGTATTTTGAGAAGGAGCATTGACATTAGTAGAAGTCGCCATTGTTAGGATTTGAAAGCTTTGAATATCAGAGAGAATTTTTGAATTTTTCTTCTTAATCGAGTAAACTGATAATTGACCTTTGTATCCCTTTTTATATGTAACGATGGAGTTTGAATTTGAAGCGGGATGTGCATTTAATGAATCCTATGTGTTACCTTGAAACTCTCTCTAGTAGCCCAACAAAATAGCCACACCTGAAAAAGTAAC